GTGTGTGGGTCCATGTTGTGGGTTCGTGGTGAGTGTGTGGGTCCGTGATGTGGGTTCCTAGTGAGTGTGTGGGTCAGTGTTGTGGGTTCGTGGAGTGTGTGGGTCCGTTTTGTGGGTTCCTGGTGAGTGTGTGGGTCAGTGTTGTGGGTTTGTGGTGAGTATGTGGGTCCGTATTGTGGGTTCGTGGTGAGTGTGTGGGTCGGTTTTGTGGGTTCCTGGTGAGTGTGTGGGTCAGTGTTGTGGGTTCGTAGTGAGTGTGTGGGTCCGTGTTGTGGGTCCTTCTTGTGGGTTCCTGGTGAGTGTGTGGGTCCGTGGTGAGTGTGTGGGTCCGTGGTGAGGATGTAGGTGCGTGGTGAGTGTGTGGGTCCATGTTGTGAGTTCGTGGTGAGTGTGTAGGTCCGTGACCCATAGAGATACATAGAGATAAATAGAGATACATAGAGACCCATAGTGATACACAGAGAACCAGAGAAACATAGAGACCGACAGGGACACATAGAAACCCATAGATATACATAGAGACCGATAGAGACACACAGATATCCAGAGATACACAGAGACCAATAGAGAAATATAGAAACCCATAAAGATACAAAGTGACCCATAGAGACAAACAAGGAGCCATAGTGATACATAGAGACCCATAGAGATATGTAGAGACCCACAGAGATACATATAGACCCATAGAGATACATAGAGACCCATTCATACAGAGACCAAATGAGACACAGAGAGATCCAGAGATACACAGAGACCCATAGTGATACATAGAAACCTATAGGGACACACAGAGACCCATAGTGATACATAAAGACCCATAGAGATACACAGAGGCCCATAGAGATAGATAGAGACCGAAAGAGACACACAAAAATCCATAGATACACAGAGACATATAGAGACACACAGAGACCCATAGAGATACAAAGAGAATCATGGACTCCAAAAGGGATACATAGAGTCCGACAGGGACACATTGAGTCGGACAGGGACCTATAGAGATACATATTGACCCATACAGATACATAGAGACCACTAGTAAACATAGTGACCCATACAAATAGAGACCGATAGAGACACACAAATATGCATAGATACACAGAGACACATAAAGACACACAGAGACCCATATAGATACATAGAGACTGATAGAGACACACAGAGATCCATAGATACATAGAGACACACAGAGACCCATAGAGATACATAGAGACCCATAATGATACATAGAGATACATAGAGACTGACAGGGAGACATTGAGACCCATCGAGATACATGGAGACCGATAGAGACACACAGAGATCTAGGGATACACAGAGACCCATAGAGACACAGAGATCCTTAGTCATACATAGAGACCCTCAGAGACCCGCAGACACCCAGAGAGACACACACAGAGAACTACAAAGATGCATAGAAACCCAAATACTAAACTAAACGATATAGATTTTTCCAGGTAACGAGATATGTAGTGCTGGCTATGACAAATGACAGAAGCTCAACCAAGTAGCTGATAACATCATCATCATCGTGTGTAAATGTATAGACACCCACAGAGACTCAGACTCAACATACAGAGACCCACACAATCACCAGACAGAGACCCACACACTCACCACACAGAGACCCACACACACACACTCAACACAGAGACCGACAGACTCACCATACAGAGACCCACACACTCACCACACTGAAACACACACACACTCCCCACACAGAGACCCACAAACTCATCACACAGAGACCCACAGACTCACCACACTAAGACCCACACACTCACCACACGGAGACCCACAGACTCACAACACAGACACAGAGAGATCCACACTCACCACACTAAGACCTGCAAACTCACAATACAGAGACCCACAAACTCACCTCACAAAAAGACCCACATTCACCTCACACAGACACTCACGGACTCACGATACCGAGATCCACAGACTCACCTCACACAGACACACACAGACCGACACTCACCACACTCACCTCACACACACACCCACAAACTCACCTCACACAGACACCCACAGACTCACCACACACAGACAACAACAATCGCCATTCGCCACTAAGTGGCGGTGACGTCACCACGACGCTTGTGCCAGGCTATGTGCACCCTGAGGCCACGTGAAGTGTCGAACGCCCGCTGGCAGGAGGTCACGGGGCAGACCCAGGTGCCACGGGTCGACTGACTGAGATGACTGGCTGATGCACCACCTGTGCCCCCTACTGTGCCAACCTGCTGTGCTTTAGCCACCCGGCGCTCCGCTCGTTGTTCTGAGCGTCGCTCCTCCGCCCTCCGTTGTTGTTGGAGGGCGACTGCCTCCAACTGCCCAGTAGCGTCCTTCACGAGCCTCCTCCACAGAGGACGATCTTGACACCGCTGGTACCAGTCATCGGCAAGTCCACTCAGCTCCACGTCCTCCTGTACCACGTCACTCCATCTCTTCTCTAGCCCGTGCCGCGCCCGCTTAGCCCCCTCAATCCGGCCGAACAAAAGCTGTTTCGGCATGCGGTGGCTGGGCATGCGGGCTACATGACCCAGCCATCGCAGCCTTCCCCGCCGGAGGAGCTCACCGATGGGACCTTGCCCAGATCTTTCAAGGATTTGTGAGCTCCTCACACAATCCAGTTTGGTTAAACCCAGGATGGATCGTAGGCAGGCCAGCCTAAATGTTTCTAACCGGCGAAGATGTTCCATTAGGGGGGCCCACGTTTCGCAAGCGTAGAGAAGGGAGGGAATGACCGTGGCCGAGAAGACCTGAAGCTTAGTGCGGAGCGACAGACCAGGTAGCTTCCACACAGCGTTACGCAACCGACAGACACAGACAGACACAGACACACACAGACACAAACACCCACAGACCCACCTCACACAGACACCTACAAACTCACCTCACACGGACACACACAGACTCACCTCACACAGACACCCACAAACTCACCACACAGAGACCCACAGACTCACCACACACAGACACCCACAGAGACCCACAGACTCGCAACACACAGAGACCCACAGAGACCCACAGAGACGTACAGACTGACCACCCAAAGAGACCCACAGACTCACCTCACACAGACACACACAGACTCACCTCACACAGACACACACAGAGACCCACAGACTCACCTCACACAGACACACACAGACACACACAGATACACACAGACTCACCTCACACAGACACACACAGACACACACAGACACACACAGACTGACCTCACACAGACACACACAGACTCACCTCACACAGAGCCCCGTGTCGGCATCTTCAGGCTGAGTCGACCTCGAGGATGCCCAGACAGGGTTCAGATTTTTCCCGCCATTCGCCCCGACCGGAAGCGGAAGTAGAAGCTGGGGGTGGAGGTGGGGGTCGCCGAAAGAGGCGGGGCGGGAGGCGGCTTCCGGGGGCGTGGTCTCGCACTGGCACGTCACTCGTAGGGGCGTGGCTGACAGCAACGGTGACGTCGCAACACCACGTGCTTCCTCACAGTTCGAGACGGGAGTGAAGGAAACGGCCGCTTCTCAAATTTCAGCTGCTTCAGCTTCATCATCTTCGTCCAACTTCTGCTGAAGCCATCCGTGCCAAACCTTTGACGAGGTGAGTGTGTGGGCTCGTGGTGAGTGTGTGGGTCGGTGTTGTGGGCTCGTGGTGAGTGTGTGGGTCCGTGGTGAGTGTGTAGATCCATGTTGTGGGTTCGTGGTGAGTGTGTCGGTCCGTCTTGTGGGTTTGTGTTAAGTTTGTAGGTCCGTGTTGTTGCTTATTTGTGAGGCTGGGTCCGTGGTGAGGATGTGAGTCCATGTGAGTTTGTGGTGATAATGTGAGTCCGTGTTGTGTGTTCGTGGTGAGGATGGGGGGTTCCTGTTGGGGGGATGTAGGACAGTGGTGAGGATGTGAGTTCGTGTTGTGACTCCATACCACATCTCCACCCCCTCCCACCCCCCCCCCCCCCCCCCACTCACAGCTTTCCACACAGAGACCTTGGGGACTGCTGCGTGAGCAAAGCCACTCTGAGCATCAGCACCATGGAGGTACGCATGGGCCCCTACACTCGACTTACTAACACCACCAGCACTTACGAACACCACCCACACTTACGACACCACCCACACTTACAAACACCACCCACACTTATGAACGAGCTTCCATGAAATATATATTTTTTAACATCGACTTACAACTAGCACTTGCGAACCGAACCGTGGAACGATCCTCCGCGAGATGTAGTGAGTGTTTGTGATGCCTGTACTCTACTCTGTGGCACCATGGTGGCTATGAGATGTTAACAACCTCACTTGGTATACAGGAGGTCGTGGGTTCGACCCCGACCCTGAGGCCTACTGTTTATTTGACGTCTGTGTGTGTAGAGGAGCCTACTCCCAATATTGTTTTCGTGTATGTATGTGCGTGTAGACGAGCCAAGCTGGAGCGAGAAGGAGGGAGGGAGTCTCTGACAACACGTGGAGCGCGCTGTCAGCAGCCGGCACCGGCCCTATCCACAGTAAATCGCCTCGAGGTGAGAACAGCAGTGAGCAAACATGTCCATCGGTGAATGGGGGGAAGTCACTACCGCCATTTTGCATGGAGGACTTCACGGTGGCCATGTTGCTTAGGGGACTTTATGGCAGCCATGTTGCACGGGTGACTTCATTGTGGCAATTTTGCATGGGGGATGTCACGGCAGCCATGTTGCATGGGGTAAATTACTATGGCCATGTTGCATGGGGGACGTCACTCTGGACATGTTACGTGGGGGATTTCACGGTGGCCATGATGCATGGCAGTCTATAGGATGGCCACGTTGCATGAGGGATATCACAGCGGCCATGTTGCATGGGGGTTGTCATGGTGGCCATGTGAGATGGGGGATGTCACGGCAGCAATGTTGCGTGAGGGATGTAACTTCGGCTATGTTGCAAGGGGGACTTTATTGCGGCCATGTTGCATGAGGGCTGTCCTGATGGCCATGTTGCATGGGGGATGTCACGTCAGCCATATTGGATGGGGGTTGTCATGGTGGGCATGTTACATGGGTATATAGTATTTGGCTGCCGCGATATATTTCCACGTGATGAAGATGATGATGATGATATCAGCCACTTCGGTGGGGCCTTACCTGCCAATATAAGAAAATATATATATACATATAGTTTAGTTTTACAATGGGTCCCTCTGGGTGTCTATTGTTCGATATGAGCATGGATCTCTGTGGGTCTCTATGGATCTATATAAGTATGGGTCTCTATGGGTCTCTGTGGGTCTCTATGGTTCGATACGAGTATGGGTTTCTGTGGGTCTCTGTGGGTCTGAGTTGAGTGATGAGTCTCCACGTGAATATGTTGATGAGGATGACGATGTAGCTCTTACCTGGCATGTAAAAAAAACAGAATAGTTCAAAGTTTAGTTGTTGTTGTCACGTGTGCAGAGATCCTGGATCTCTTTGGGCCCTTGCTGAGTCATCGCCAGAAGCTGGAGCTGGCGGCCATGAAACAAGTATGGTTCTTCACTGTGGACAAGGTCGGCAAACCCCGGGGCGGCAACAACAACGACAGCTACGACGACGAAAACAACAACTACATCCCTGTGAGTCTCACAGAGATACAGAGATACCCACAGAGACCCAAAGAGACACCCATAGATACCCACAGAGACCCAAAGAGACACCCACAGAGACACCCACAGAGACACCCATAGAGACCCACAGAGACCCAAAGAGACACCCACAGAGACCCACAGAGACACCCATAGAGACCCACAGAGACCCACTCCTATTGAGACCCACAGAGGCACCCAAAGAGACACCATTAGACACCCACAGAGGTTTTTGTTGGGTTAGAAGGCATGAGTATAAATTTCTAATCTGCCACCACCACAAGACACAGACAGTCAGTTAAGGTTTTGTGTTATGGGTTTCTGGGGGTCTCTGTGGGTGTCTAAGGATCTGTGTGGGTCTTTGTTGGTCTGAGTGTCTGTGGGTCTCTCTGGGTCTCTCAGGATCTGGGTCTCTGTGTATGTGTTAAAGTTATTTCACGCCGTATGTAGCAAACTTTGGCTAATCCACTCACTATAACGTCGGCCACAGTGGCCAGGAGATGTTAACTCCCTCGCCTGGTATACAGAAGGTCGTGGGTTGGATACCGACCCTGACGCCTGCTGTATATTTGGAGTTTGCGTCTCTATCTCTCTCCGTGGTTGCGTGGATTTCTCTCCGGGTCCTCCATTTTCTTTCCTTCCACATTTATAATCAACGTCACCACACGTTGAGAGCAATTGGCTTCCGCTATACATTTCCACACGGTGGTAATAATAAGGCCACTTCGTTGAGCAATGATTTGAGATGGCCAGGTCGCTTTTGAACAAGAAGAGTTACATAGCAGCTCAGTGGTGGAGCCTTTAACAGCATAACAATAGGCTGCAGCCTTTCTGGAAATAAAACACATGCTGGTGGTGAACATCCAAACAACAACATGCTCTGATAATATGTGGCATTGCCTTTGAAACTGATTAGTCTACACCAGAGAGAACAGCCTTCTTTCGGGCCTAGTCTCAATACCTGGGTCTCACCACCAGTTGTTCGCCACCAGTGTCTCACTACCAGTGTCTCATTACCTGTATCTCACTACCTGTCTCACCACCAGTGTCTCGCCACCAGTGTCTCGCCACCAGTTTCTCGCCACCAGCGTCTCGCCACCAGCGTCTCACAACCAGCATCTCACAACCTGCGTCTCACCACCAGTGTCTCACCACCAGTGTCTCACCACCAGTGTCTCACCACCAGTGTCTCATTACCTGTATCTCACTACCTGTCTCACCACCAGTGTCTCACCCCCAGTGTCTCATCACCAGTGTCTCACCACCAGTGTCTCACTCCCCGTGTCTCACTACCCAGTGTTAGATGGATAAACGCAAAAAGGCGAACAACTCCCCCAAGTTTTAACGCAATTTGGTATTCTTGGGTCTTTCGGTAAAGTAACATACTTTAGATAGGTTCAAAGAAAATAAAAAAAAATAACAGGAAGACGACCGCTTGCATTGCGATCGAAATGTTGTAGTTTTCTGTTATTTTTTATTATTTTCTTTGAACCTATCTACGTGACTTTACCAAAAGACCCAAGAATATTAATTCCTGCAGTCACGAAAGCGTTAAGTCAAGCATTCGGCAGTTTAACGAAACATTTATACATTTCCGCGATCTAACACCCAAGCAAAATGAAACCTCCGTGGTAGATAATGGCGGTCCTGGAAGCCCCGACTGCTGCTGCCACCACCGAGCGTTAGGCTCGGTGGTGGCAGCTCCGATTGCGATGACTCTGACTACAGGCCTCCGCCTCCTCCTTCGCCTCCTAGGTCTGCAAGGAACAGCTCCACTACCGTTATGAGGTGCAGAAGATGATCGGTGAGGGAGGCCAGGGCCTGGTGCTGCAGTGCCTCGACCACAAAACCAAAACGCTCGTGGCCGTCAAGATGCTGTCGCTGCCCTTGTGGTGAGTCAGAGGGCCTTTCGGGGTGGCCCGCACTCTCGGAAAATGATCATCAATGATTGGAGGCAAAGCCGTGAAACTGCCACTAACTATGGACTCGCTGACAAAATACTAACTGCCGTAAAACTTCTGCTAGCTATAAACTAACAAAATACTAACTGACATAAACCTGCTGCTAATTATGAACTAACAAAATACTGACTGCCATAAAACTGCTGCTAACTTTAAACTAACAACATTTTACTGCCATAAAACTGTTGCTAACTATAAACTAACGGAATACTAACTGATATAAACCTGCTGCTAAATATGAACTAACAAAATAATAACTGCCGCATAACTATTGCTAACTATGAACTAAAAACTAACAGACCCATAGAGACCCATAGAGATCCACAGAGACCCACAGAACACCCAGACCCAGAGACCCACAGAGACCCCCACAGAGCCACCCATAGAGACCTCCACAGAGACCCCCACAGAGACACCCACAGAGACCCACACAGTCACCCACAGAGACCCCCACAGAGTCACCCACAGAGACCACCACAGAGACCCCCACAGAGTCACCCACACAGACCACCACAGTGACCCCCACAAAGTCACCCACAGAGACCCCCACACAGTCACCCACAGAGACCCCCACAGTCACCCACAGAGACCCCCACAGAGACACCCACAGAGACCCCCACAGTCACCCACAAAGTCACCCACAGAGTCAACCACAGAGACACCCACAGAGACCCACAGAGACCCACAGGGTCACCCACAGAGTCACGCACAGAGACCCTCACAGAGTCACCCAGAGAGACACCCACACAGAGTCACCTACACAGAGACACCCACACAGAGTCACCCACACAGAGTCACACACACAGAGTCACACACACAGAGTCACCCACACAGAGACACCCACACAGAGTCACCCACACAGAGTCACCCACAGAGACACCCACACAGAGTCACCCACACAGAGTCACCCACACAGAGTCACCGTTGATTTCGTGGCCTTCCCCCTCCCGCTGCGCAGCTCCTCGACAGCGGCCCGCCAGAGGACGGAGCTGGAGGTGGCCAAGAAGCTGCAGGGCAGGGCCAGCGATGAGCGCTACGGAGTCATCCGGGTCCTGGACACGTTCGAATTCCGTGGACACAATTGCCTCGTCGTCGAGCTCTTGAAGTACGTGAACCTTCCCAACCCCCCACCACCCACCCACGTGCGTGTCCATTGCTCCGTTCGATAGTTGATTTATTTCGGAATTAATATTTATTTAATATTTGATCAAACAACTAGATTTATCGATTTATCACATTTATTAATTGAGTTTTACACGGAGGGCTTTTGCGACCAATATCATCCAATATAGAGGTATGTTTGGGTTAGATCACGTAAATATATAAATGTTGTGTCGTTAAACCCGCCATCACTCGACACAGCCAACTAGTAAGGGTGGTCACGCAAACAGAACGTGCCAATTCGTTACTAGTACAGCACTATTGTGTAGTGTATAGTAGTGTAGTGTATAGTGTAGTGTATAGTGTAGTATAATGGTACAGCACAACGGTGTGTTGGACAGCCAAGCCACAACATTTACAATCTCTGAGTACGACATTTCGCCAGTAATTACAACCAGCTTCATCAGGCGACAGCCAGATTTTGTGGAGAATTCCACCTCTTCCGTTCCTTATAAAGAGGCACAGATGTGGTGACCACACTTCTGTGCTCTTGCGCAAAGTAGGGGGGTGATTAATTTTCTAATTTGTTCCCCAATATCTTTATTTAATAATTTTCATAATTAACTTATTTTGCAGTTTGTTTAATGAGTTTAAAGATAGTTAACAATTCATCAAAAGATGTCTCGCCTCGTTAAATCAATTAATTTCATCGAAGACGTAACTTATTTAATTGCTATTTTGATAATTAATTTATGCAACAATTAATATGACAATTTTACAATCACAATTTGTTTGGCAACTGAGTATCCAAAGCTCTGGGAAGTCGAGCAGCACGCGTCCACGTGGCCCCCGTGGGTCAAGCAGCTCAGCATGGCGAACCGCTGCATTATCGACAATCGCAGAACACCGTGGGGACAAAGCAGACGCAGGAAGTCCCCCGGGTTGCGGAAGACGCGACTCACGGAAACGCTCCCCATGAATCACACATTAAACTTTTTTCATGAGAATCTATATATATAAAAGGGAAATTTGTGAATATGTGTTTCTGTTCGAAATGTTTAGCATACTTCCCAACATGAAACAAACTTTAAAATTAAGAAAGGTCGACAATAAAGTAATAATAATACATTTATTATTAAATTGTGATATGATAGTAATAAAATGCTAGTAATGAAATAATAAAATATAAATTGTAATAACATAATCACGGTGAAATTATAATAAAATCATAATGAAATTATTATCATTAAATATTTCACGCGCGGCAATGTTTTGTGCGCGTTAGTTCTCTCGGCGCTAGTGCAGCGCGGCGACGACGCGAATGAATACCGCAGAGCGACGAGGAGTTTCCTGACCCCCCTCCCCCCCCCCCCCCCAAAACTAACCGAGTGGCACAGTCGGTTTGGGGTCCGGGTTGGGGGTCGCCCTGCGCACGTCATCGGAACGGGAAAGGGGTTTTAACGTCGTCGTCGTCGTTGTCGTGCCAGGAAGAGCCTCTATGATGTCATGAGCAAAGGGAGCATCGGGCGAATCTACGTGAGGCGGTTGAGGGAGTACACCAGGGCCATCCTCGACTTCCTGTTGTACGCCAAGGGGCGGGGCATCATCCACGCGGACATCAAGCCGGTGAGCGGAGCGGGCGCGGTGGTCGCGCCCTCTCGTTGGGGCGCTCGGTTAGCTGGCGCGGAGGCAGCCCGGCCACTGTTGATCGCGGGGTCGATGCGGTGGCTCCGTCCATCTGGAGGGAGGTGGTGGTAGTGGTGGTGGTGGTGGGGTCACTTTACCTCCGGTGAAGACGATCCGGGACGAGGTGGACACTCGTACCGTAGATGCAGGCCAGCCATGGTTGATCGCAGGGTCAATGCACTGGCCCCGTCCATCTACTGTGACTCTGCCACCTCCTCCTTCCAGATGGAGGAGGTAGCAGGAGATGTTTACTACCTCGCCTGGTATACAGGGGTTCGTGGGTTTTATCCCGACCCTGACGCCTGCTGTATATTTGGAGTTTGCGTCTTTTCCTCTCTCATCACCACAGTGGCTGGATGTTAACTACCTCGCCTGGTATACAGGGTCATGGGTTCGATCCCGACCCTGACTCCTGCTGTACAGTGAGGGAAAAAAGTATTTGATCCACTGCTGATTTTGTACGTTTGCCCAATGACAAAGAAATGATCAGTCTATAATTTAATGGTAGGTTTATTTGATCAGTGAGAGACAGAATAACAACAACAAAATCCAGAAAAACGCATGTCAAAAATGCTATGCATTGATATGCATTTAAATGAGGGAAATAAGTATTTGACCCCCTCTCAATCAGAAAGATATCTGGTTCCCAGATGTCTTTTATGCAGGTAACGAGCTGAGATTAGGAGCACACTCTTAAAGGGAGTGCTCCTAATCTCAGCTTGTTACCTGTATAAAAGACACCTGTCCACAAAAGCAATCAATCACTCAGATTCCAAACTCTCCACCATGGCCAAGACCAAAGAGCTCTCCAAGGATGTCAGGGACAAGATTGCAGACCTACACAAGGCTGGAATGGGCTACAAGACCATTGCCAAGCAGCTTGGTGAGAAGGTGACAACAGTTGGTGCGATTATTCGCAAATGGAAGAAACACAAAAGAACTGTCAATCTCCCTTGGCCTGGGGCTCCATGTAAGATCTCACCTCGTGGAGTTGCAATGATCATGAGAACGGTGAGGAATCAGCCCAGAACTACACAGGAGGATCTTGTCAATGATCTCAAGGCAGCTGGGACCATAGTCACCAAGAAAATGATTGGTAACACACTATGCCATGAAGAACTGAAATCCTGCAGCACCAGCAATGTCCCCCTGCTCAAGAAAGCACATATACATGCCCGTCTGAAGTTGGCCAATGAACATCTGAATGATTCAGAGGACAACTGGGTGAAAGTGTTGTGGTCAGATGAGACCAAAATGGAGCTATATGGCATCAATACAACTCGCCGTGTTTGGAGGAGGAGGAATGCTGCCTATGGCCCCAAGAACACCATCCCCACCGTCAAACATGGAGGTGGAAACCTTATGCTTTGGGGGTGTTTTTTTCTGCTAAGGGGACAGGACTTCACCGCATCAAAGGGACGATGGACGGGGCCACGTACCGTCAAATCTTGGGTGAGAACCTCCTTCCCTCAGCCAGGGCATTGAAAATGGGTCGTGGATGGGTATTCCAGCATGACAATGACCCAAAACACACGGCCAAGACAACAAAGGAGTGGCTCAAGAAGAAGCACATAAAGGTCCTGGAGTGGCCTAGCCAGTCTCCAGACCTTAATCCCATAGAAAATCTGTGGAGGGAGCTGAAGGTTCGAGTTGGCAAACGTCAGCCTTGAAACCTTAATGACTTGGAGAAGATCTGAAAAAGAGGAGTGGGATAAAATCCCTCGTGAGATATATGCAAACCTGGTGGCCAACTACAAAAAACGTCTGACCTCTGTGATTGCCAACAATGGTTTTGCCACCAAGTACTAAGTCATGTTTTGCAGAGGGGTCAAATACTTATTTCCCTCATTAACATGCAAATCAATTTCTAACATTTTTGACATGCGTTTTTCTGGATTTTGTTGTTGTTTCTCACTGTTAAAATAAACCTACCATTAAAATTATAGACTGATCATTTCTTTGTCAGTGGGCAAACGTACAAAATCAGCAGGGGATCAAATACTTTTTTTCCCTTACTGTATGTTTAGAGTCTGCGTCTCGCTCTCCCCGTGGTGGTCACGTGGATTTTACTCCAGGTCCTCCTGTTTTTACCTCCACGTTCAGAATCAACATCACCAAGCGTTTAGAGTATTTTACCACTGCTGTAACATTTCCGCGTGATGATGATGATGAGCTATCGTTTGTGATGGCCAGGCCGCTTCTGACAAAAAAGATGCACAGCAGCACAGAGTGGAGCCTGACACCTAGTAAAGTAAAACATTACAGTAAGATTTGGTACAGTACACAAAATTCAAAAACTAGTATCTTGCACTAAAGACGCATTACCTAAACTATCAACAGAAGGTGTATATCGGATTAATTGTTCATGTGGCAGCTGCTACATTGGGCAGACGGGACGTAACATCAGCGTAAGACTAAAAGAACATCAGAGAAATATTAAATTATCTCAAACACAACTGTCGGCAGTGGCAGAACATGCTTGTCAACAAGGACACTCAATTGATTTTGACAATGTTGCAGTGGTGTGTAAAACTAATTATTACTGGCAAAGACTAATTAGAGAATCCATTGAAATTGAGAGGAACAAGAATAACTTTAATCGCTCTGACAGCTACCGGCTTAGTGCGGCCTGGAAGCGTATTATTAAATAATACACATTACATTTTGATTTAAAGAATTACTAATCTACAACTCATTACTAATCATAACCAATGACTGATTACTAATCGATTATATAATTACATTACCCCCCCTCCGCCTCTTATCACTGCACCTGATGAGTTAAGTGATGACGGCACCCTGCTGCTCTATATAAAACCGGGAGCAAGCGAGGGCTTTACCATTCTGGCGAATTGCCCGATGATGCTGGAAGTATTTACCAGCGAAACGTCGTACTCAAACTGTAAATGTGGATTAACTCTTCAACACACCGGTGGGCTGAAGTAGTGAATTATTTGTCTTTTGTCAACGTGACACTTTTTTTGCTGATTGGCCGTGTCGGGTGGTGGAGGGTTACGACACATTTATAAATAAACGCGATCTAACCCAAAAACCTTTATTATGAATAATATTGGTCGCGAAAGCCTACGTGTTAAACTGACTAACCTCTATGGGGAGGATACTTTTCTTAAAACCAGAAAATTGGAGAAGCTTCGCATTAAGCGGATGAAATTGATATCTTCACTGGCGTTCCTCAAAAGGTGCAGAGATTCAAAGGTAATACCAAACGCAGTTAAAATAACACATCACATAAAGTCTTCTAAAGCTAACCAAATACTACACAAAGCTAGCGAATTATTATTAATAGAGAGAATACAGCACAATAGGAGTGAATTATCTTACATTTCAGAATCGCTAAAGCAGTTACACTTAGATATAAGCAATAGTGTATCTATGCATTATTGGAATATAATCGATAACATAACACAACAATCGGCTGATAATGTGTTTAAACTAACAAAAACTAACCAAATTAATAAATTTTCTAGACTACAAAATAAACAAATCCCTACTGAA